TATGGGAATAATTTACTTTAATGTAAAAGATCTCATTTTACCTGTGTTGAAAGATGAATCTTACAGACAAAATATAACTCTGCAGTATCTTTGTGATTAATTATTCTATTAAATAAGGTATAATAACCATTTTGAACACTGTGAGGAGTTTCTGTGAAAGAGAAAAAAAAGTGTGTGTCCTGTATTTAAATATACAACTTGGATCAATGTTGGATCCAACATGCAGAACATACTTTCAGAAAAAGTGTATAATGGCTTCAAAAAGTTCTTTGGTCTTCTGCAGTTCCTTTTGTTAGGAAAAAGTGAAAGGCTTTTGTCTAAACCAGTTGATCTAAATCGGAGCCCATCTTTCTTTTCATTGGGTCATTCTATGTATTTGAGAAACTATTTTATAAACAAGTCCTTCTTTCTTGACTTTTTCATATGTTTATTAAAGTCTAAATTTTGGGTAAAAGTTGTGGAAGTTGGTGCTTGTGTCTCACAGTTCCAGTTCAAGAAGACATCACCTTTTTGTCTCCCAACAAAGAAATGTAAAGCAGATACACATGAGCTTGCATGTTCTTGGTAGCACAAGAAACTGGAGCTCTAAAATATTTTTTGCATGTTAAGAGTAGAAAGCTCCTCTCCACCTTTGCTCCTGGTTCTACTTTGATGATTTGGGAAATCATTATTGCTGTATATAAATTTAGAAAGAAACAAGAAGAAACTCAGCCTTCCCTCCTTCCTCATCTCCCCCCCCCCCCCCCCCCCCCCCACCTAAGCAGAGTTCAGAAAAGAAGGTGAGAAAGGAGGGAGGTCTACCTTTCCCTCTCTAGTTTGGGCAAGGGAGGGATAATGGGATTGAAGCTTCTCACTTCTGCTTCCTGTCCACTGCCTTCACACAGGGACCCTAATAGAGCCAGGTTGCTTTCCTTGCTCTTCCTCCTCCCTGACCTTTACCTCCCAGGCTGCATTCTCATTCTTTTTCCTCATTTATATTCCTTTCCCTGTGTGCATTTGTATAAATTACACATTTTAAGATCAGCAATGCAGTTTACCCCCACACCCACTCCTGTACCCCCGAAAGAAACAGATTATCTCCTTCCCTTTAGCTTTTTCTAAGGATCTTCCCTCTATGCATTTATAAAAGGAGAGGAAAAGATTTGTTTGTTACATTCCCCTAATTTTCCCCTTGACTTAAAACCTGCCCTTGACCTATGCATGGGATCGACTTATGCATAAGTATGCGCAGTGTTATCATGATTTATTTATCAGCACCATCACTAACATTGAAGTGACCCCTAGAGGTGTATAAAACTCTTAAGTGTTACACACTGAAGACCAAAAAGCAAGTCTAAATGCAGTAAAAGAAGGTTCTTTATGATATTTTGGCTAGTTCCTCTGATGTTCTGGTCTAGGAGGCTTTGAAAGTCCTTGGTTCGTGCTTTTACAGTTGGCTTTCCCTATTCAGAGATTCTTTATCCACAGATTTAACCAAGCACAGCTCAGAAATATTGGAGGGGGGAGCATTTTTCTTCATGCTGAGCATTGCAATGATATACCTTATTATAGCCTTTCACATATCCTCAAACTCAATTTTGGTGACCATAGAGGTTCTGGAACCAAACCTCACAGGATATCGAGGCCCCCTGTATATACTTCTTCAGACTGAATTGTGCTTAGCTTAAGGTATCGATTTGCCTTTGGAAAACTTAATTTTATTCTTCCCCAGCAATTTCACCTGAAAGTGTCTGATATCTTGGACATTATCTATTTTTCCAATGCAAAAACCTGCCATTTTTGGTTCTGCTGGAAAGAAGTTTGAGTACAGAGATTACAATTATTTGTGAGTTGATTTTGTTTTTTTTCTTGCTGAATTGTGCCTTATGAGTTTGGTATATACATGGTAAAGTTAATGTGATAAGTAAAACAGCTCTAATAATAATAGGACAAAATCAATTTTAATAGTACTGACTCTGTAGCCAGATATGCAAATTATTTATTTAGCACTATCAGTGTGTATGATTATTTGCAAAGTACGAGAGGACAGATCTTGAATTCAAGGAGCTTCAAATCTGAAATTTGATAAGGAGAATGAGCAGAAAAGACTATGCATTTGCTACACATGCTTTATATTGATCTGGTAAGTCATCAAGAATAAACATACTCAGATTCAGTCTTCTGTTGGGGGTATTTTTAATGCGATTTTCCTGCTTCTTGGAAGGGGGTTGGACTGGATGGCCCATGAGATCTCTTCCAACTCAAGGATTCTATGATTCCTTTTCTCTTGAGCAGTTTTGCTCTGGTAGCATAAGATTACAGATGTAAAGGAGAGAAAAAAATCCTTTTTCACTGCTGTGAAGCTTCAACAGACATTTGATAAATGAGATGAATTTATCAATAGTATAGGTAAATACAGCATTCTTGAGATGTATGCTTCTTTTGGGAATTTGAAATATAATATCAGGATTTTTAGCAATATTTTGTTTCAATTGATGCTCTTAGACATCTTGGGTTTTATATTATGGATATAAATGAAGTAAATAAACGAAATGCACATCTTAAGCCAGGCCTGCACAACATGCAGCCTGGGTTCCAGATGTGACCCTCACATAGATTTGGTGCAGCTCGCAGAAGTTCTGAGCCTAAGCCATAGAGAGGGAGGTCATATTCATTGCCTCAGCAGAGCAGAAATGGGAACCCTTCATTCCCTCCTCAAAGTGTTTTATTTCTGTATGCATCGAAGTTACAAAACTACTCTGTGACAAAGGAGGCACCACCGATAGATCCAGTCAGGATGCTGGAAGTACTGGTGTCAGTTAGAAACATGGCATGGGGAGGTTGTTGTACTCAAATTAGAATAGTGGGGAACAGGAATGAAATTTTAAGGGGACCTTTATTCAGGAAGATAGGAATCCTGGGCTCTAGGTTATGTTAAAATTTGACATTAGATTGGCCGTTTTAGAGAGAAAAGAAGATAAAGAAGGACCACAATTCTTGCCTCTGCCACTCTTCCTTTCTCTTTGTCTTTATTGTTTCCTTTCCATAATAATAATTAATAATAATAATAATACTTTATTTGTACCCCGCTACCATCTCCCCAAGGGACTTGGTGCGGCTTACATGAGGTGGCTTACATCCAGTGGCAGAACTGCCAATTCCATAACGTTCGTTTGTGGGGTCTTCATAACAAAGCCAAGTTTTTCCCTTACAAATGAGGATGCAGAGTTGGTGGTTTTTCCCTTCATAGGAGAAGGAGATGACAGAGGCAACCCAGAGGAAAAGGGAAACAGAGGCAAGAGCGGAGGCATTTCTTTCCTTCAGAAAAGGACTGCAATTTGCCACCACACTATTTATTATTGCCGATCAGGGCATATGGTTACAACCTGTGCTTGACGGGGTTACATTCCCCCTGAAGGCGTAGGTTCACAGCTTGGGAGTGATCCTGGACTCATTGTTGAGCCTGGAACCCCAGGTCTTGGCGGTGGCCGGGAGAGCATTTGCACAGTTAAAGCTTGTGCGCCAGTTGCGCCCATACCTTAGGAAGTCGGACTTGGCCATGGTGGTCAACGCTCTGGTTACATCCTGTATAGACTACTGCAACGCTCTCTACGTGGGGTTGCCTATGAAGACTGCCCAGAAGCTGCCCGGAAGCTGCAATTAGTCCAACACTTGGCAGCCAGGTTACTAACGGGCGGGGTACAGGGAGCATACAACTCCCTTGTTACGCCAGCTCCACTGGCTGCCAATTAGCTTCCGAGCACAATTCAAAGTGCTGGTTTTAACCTACAAAAGCCCTGCTCTCGGTCCCGCCACCTTTGCAGGAGTGTCTGATGGGGATGAGAGACAGGGCCTTTTCTGTGGTGACCCCTCGACTATGGAATTCCCTTCCGAATGAAATTAGATCTGCCCCCTCCCTCCTGACCTTTAGGAAGCTAGTGAAAACCTGGCTGTGCAACAAAGTTTTTGCGGAATGATGTCTGAGACCGGCAACCGACTAATGGTACTGATCACAATATATGGACTGGACATACGAACTAAGTTGGACACGATTTTATCCTGGCAAACAGCTTTTATGTAATTTTTATGTAATTTATTTTATATGTGATTGGTAACTTAATGTTGTGTATTATGTTTTAGTTTTTCAGTGTTAGCATTGAATCTTTGCTGTTAGCCGGTCTGGGTCCCTCTACAGAGGTAGAGAAGATCAGGATATAAAAGTTTTAAATAAATAAATAATAAATAAAATTGTGCAGGCCTGTCTTCAGCCATCTATGCCGTAGCTGCCGTGGGACCATCATTCACTACATAGACATCACTGCTAAGTTTCGGATGATGGAAATCAAACTATGAACCTCTTCCTTGCCGTCTTTATCTGCTTGGCAATTCATTGGGATGCTAGCTTAATAGGTTAAAGACCTGATGATAAGGTGATCTAAATTTTAATAGTTTCTGGTCTCCTTAAAATCTAGAGTGGCATGTCGGAAATGCATTCATTGCACCCATTGTTTCCTTTCTTTGTAGATGGCCCTGCAGTGAAGCCTAGACTTTTGTGTCTTGGCTGTTTGAAGCATTACATAAATGATTTTGCTTTTTATGCTTGCTTTATAGCATATGTTAATGCTTTGCAGGCGTTGCAGGTTATTGAGAAATGTGCCTTGGCAGGAGTGGTGCATTCTTTACTGGCAAAACTAGGAGGATTGTGTATTTTAATCAAGGGAATGTAATCAAGGTTACAAAAGGAATCTTCTGTTCATACAGGAAAACCTTAAAGAAGATTTTGTCTTTATATTTATTTGCAGAATGAACAAACATTAGTACTTCCTTGCTAGTTGTTGTCTTGGCAAAGTGCTTCTATAGTCTGGTTGTATATATGTTTCAATAATTCATTATGTTCAGATAGTATAAGTGCACCCTCTCTTTGACAGATACCTTTCAATAGTTATATGGTTTAGAATGTCTTTCATCAGGCTCTTCTCATTTACAAATAAAGTCTCACCGTTATTTCTTACATTTTTCAGATTGAGAAAATCATGAGTTCCATTGGTGAAGGCATTGACTTCTCACAGGAGCAGCAAAGGATGTCAGGTATCATATTGAACTACTGAGGGGATTGAGTGAGTTCTTGCTTGGATAACTGTCCTAACCGGCATTTTCAGTCAAACCAATGGAAGATCAATACAAGTTGATCCATATTGGAACTTGACATTGGGGTCTTGGGTTTCTCAAACCATGGTTTAAGTCTTTTCTGCCCTCTAGAGTTGTGTTAAGTGTGGCAATCCAAATCTGAAATAGCAATTGGTTATACTTTAATTCCTGATTGGCATATACATTATGTTTAATTTAATGGATGTCTTTTGGCCCAAGGAGCTATAAGGCTTGAATTTTGGCTGCTGCTCAACCATATATAATTTTGCATTATTTTATAATACGACTACTTTTTCATGCTAGCCCAGTAGAGAAATGTGCTAGACCCTCTTCAGAGTACTCACAATCTGAAGTGGAACTAGGTGAACATAGGACAAATGGTAACAATAGAACTTAGAAAAAGATACCTGAGTGTTGAATAGGAAGAGATGTTGATTTGCTTGTAATCTGCTTCTTGCCTTTTCCCCATTTAGATGGATTAGAATATTGATCCTTGTATTACCCAGATCACTTGCCATCAGGAGAGATACCTTTTAAGACTTAACCAGCTTTTTGTCGCATATATTGCATAATGACGATGAGACTTGCGTTTCTTATTACTAGACTACGACAAAAGTTGCAAATGAAATAACTTTTCCTCTTCTCACAACTTTTGTCTTCAGCTGTAACTTTTAGCAAGAGGAAGTCCTTAACATTGTAACCATAGCTGTTGAAAAAGACTATTAATAAACTGCATGTTGATTTAGACTGCAGAAAAAACACATTGAATGTTTAACCTGGAATTCACTGTGTAGGATGTTGCTCTATTGAAGATTATAATAAATGGATGGATTGTAATAACTATAATAATAGCACATCAGACTGCTTCAAGGCATCTGCAGTCTGATAATGTAGAAGGAGTGTGGCGGATGAGCGTAATTTTAGCAGTAGTTTTCATGTAAAATGTGTAGAAATGATTGACAAGTTCTCAAGAGTTCAGCTTTGGATAAACCTTAATGAATTGTTTTGAAATACCAGTTTAAAATGCTGTGCAAAATAGAAATGCTGTGATAGTCCAGTGCAGAACCAAAAAATAAAATAACTGCAAAACTGCAGAAATCTATTTTTAATTTCAGAAAGTGACCAGAAATATTTTAGGTGTTTACATATCTCTTTCAAGAGAATTATGATAGAAGAATACACATTTTTTTATATTTGCTTTCATTTCTGGAATTAGGACATGAGAAAATAATGTGACTTGGAATATTACAGTATTATTATGTATGATAAGGCCATAAATAGTTCAGCCTACCACCATATTGGAGGAGGGAAATGTCCTGTATCCAAAACCAGACATGGCACCCAGGATCAAAAAAGCTGTGTCCAATTGATCAAAACTGTTTCCTTGTTGGTTATAAAGGAAATAAAATGTAGGACATCATTCTCTCTCATACAGAAACACACATAAATGTTCTTAGAGATTCAAAAACATAAGGTTGGTTTATTGCAGTGCAAGCAGTGAATAAAACAGTGTATTGATAGTAATCAACTTTCTCATCTGACAAAAAAGTTTTTTTTCCAGTTTTTGCTAAAATTTAGTTGATTCAGAAAAATCTTCTTCCTGACAAATCAGTTAAACTAAATTAAATCAAGATGCATTTGTCAAGTGTCATTTGCTTTCTGTTAGCTTTTTCTTGTACTCCATATATACGGTTCTTTATTTGCTTTAAAATCTAGATTTATCACCAGTCTTACTTCTTTTCTATGTTTACATTTCTCTTTCATAGGGAGATTATTGGGCACTCACAATCTGTGTAGGTTTTGTATAAAATAACTTGGTTAGATTTATGAATGGAATTTGTAAGAGCTCTTAGCATGGTATAGTGGCTGAGTGTTGGACTATAACCATGGACACTAGGCCTCAAATCCCCACTCAGTCATGGAAAACAACTAAGTGAGCATGAGCAAGCCACACACTCTCAGCCTTAGGAGAAAGCAAAGGCAAAGCCTTTCTGAGTAAGAAAACACTGTGCTAGGGTTGTCTTGGTGTTGCCATAAGTTGAAAGTGACTTGAAGGCATCCAACAAGAAGAAGGCTAGATCTAGACTTAGTCCTAGTATTTTAAAAGTGCTACTCTTTTGAATCCTGTTTATTAATACGTTAATCTATCTGTCAAGCTCATATCTGCTTAGCAACCGAGGATGGGAGCTTGCAGTTGTTTTTATGTTAGCTGTTAATACTTCTAAAATGTTTTCAAGAGGAAAGAAACATACAGATGTCTCCATCTTGGGAATGGGAAACCTTTTTTGTGTTGTTTAGCTGACAGTCTCCGGGGGAAATTAACAAAAATGCATTGATGCTCAAACTTACATGCTCCCCTTAGATTAGCATAAACTAAAATTAGCCACTATGAACTATGACACGAGAAATAAATTTTATCCATGGGCAGTTTCCAGATGGAAACGAAAAATATTCTCCTCTTGACTGCAGGCTAAGTAATCCTGTTTTAGGAACAGGAAAGGAAATAGATTTCTGGTTAGAGAATTTGAATGGGACTAACTCAGCTTGCTGTTTGGCTGTTTTGATCATTTTTCTCATTTCATTGATAGAAAGTTGTGCAATACATATTTTTATGCAGTAAGTAAAATAGCAATATAGATAACAAACAACAACAACAACAACAACTTTATTTTTATACCCCACCCCCATCTCCCAAAAGGAATTCGGGGCGGCTGCAAGTGGGACCAACTTGTAACATAAGAGACAACATAGTTTGGATCACATTAATCATGTCATTTTTAAGGTGCAATTGCATTGAAGGGTGATGTGCATAATTGTTTAGTGAATTGCTGTGGCTACTGTTGAGTAGTTGTTAAACTGCACTGGTACAATGCAGTATCTGCAGGTCCAGTTCTACTTTTAAACATTGCTAATTCCAGTACCCATCAGCCCTATCTGGTATAACCAGTGTTGAATGTTAATGAGGAGGGGTTGACAACAACATCTGTAGGGGCACCATTGTATTCCGTGGCTTTTGCTTTATTAATGAACAACATGTCACATTTTGTATGGATCTCACCTTTTGTTAAAATTTGATAGTTTCATCCCCAGGGAATGTGTACTATCCCAAAGCATAACAAGCAGTGTTGGGGATATGACAGTTTTTCCTGTTTGGAAGAGAATTTGAGGAGTTGATAGTAAATTGACAGGGAGTATCTATTTTAAACAGCTAATTGAACCAGTGAGAACATTTTAGCACTTTGTTTAGATTTGTTGAATAACATTAACATTAGTGTCTTGTTTATGAAGATAACTTACATTTCTGAACTGCAGGAACAGCAAGAATATACTAGCAAAACACTTTGTTGCAGTTCTGAGCACTTTTAAATAAAGAAAGCAACATACCAAGACTGCTTCAGGCCACCTCTTATTGTTCAATCATTCTTTGAGGGAAAAATTGAGTTTAAAACAGTTTTGGTGGAACTTCAAACGGCTCTTCTCAAAATTCAGGGTGACTGCTTCACATTTACGGACATTTGAGAACTGCAGTTGTATTCTTTAATCTTTATAATGCAAATGCCTACCTTGACAGCCTTTCCCTATTATTCTATTTTCAAAGATATGACAAGAAACTTTTATTATACATTCAAACCTTCCAGAATATAACACCACTGTCCACTACACACTTTTAGACCAGATATAATTCTTGTGTGAAACAATCAAGCACATAGCTTAACATCACCTATAGCCACTCTGTAGAAGCATTATGCAGTATTATACATCTGAATTTCTACATTATTAATTCTGCAATCTTCTACATGTTCACTCAGAACAAAAAACCATTGAGCTCAGTAATGCTTACCCCCAGGTAAGTAGGCATAGGAATGCTGCCTAAATACAATAATCTTGTGATTCTGAGATTTTTGCCTGTACACCACAGCCGGCTTTTGACATGTAGAACTACCGTACAGCCAATGTCTGATTGGAGTTTAAATTGTGGTACTTCCTCTCTGATTATGGCAGAGATTATCAACTTCAATATGGGTAGCTATACTGAGTTGGGGACGGGGGACGGGGGACGGGACCAAAGTCCACAGTTGAGAAGTACCTTTATTAGTTCTAAAATGCTAAAATGGTGTGCACGTTATTGGCTTCTCCAGAAATCTTCATCAGATTGTGTTGTAGAAAAACATAGAAAATAGTGAAAAAACAGACCCCCCCCCCCAAAAAAATAAGACCATGTGTTGCCATAAGGTCTGCAATCAAATTCATTTTCAAGTTAAGAATGTGAATAGAGTGAATTACTCATAGATGTGCAGGTATCAGATTATACCTGGTATTGTCAAGAGGCAATGGCCCATATCGATTTGTCTTAAATATATGAATTGGCATATGGGTGGCCAGTATGATAATGATTCTGCACTACAAATTACTTTTGATCCCTTTCAGTGTTACTGTCTCTGTCATTTACATAGATAGCATTTTATCCCTCCAGTTGCTGGCACTTTGCTTTGTTGTCAGTTCCCCCTTGCAAGATGTCCTGATTGATTGACATCATTAGCGCTGAGAGAAGCAGATACTGATTAGCTCTCATTCTCCAGCTATGGCCACTGTGAAGCTAAGGTCAATAAAAGGGACTTTCTTCCACTGACAATGGATTACTGACAAGCAGAGGCCTCATTTTCACAAAATGAAATGTTTATTTTCTTCTGGGATTCCCCACTCAACCTCCAGAGCTTCTATTTCAGGTAGTAATCCACCCCCTTCTTTCTGTTCTATACATGGCTTCCAGGCTTTAAAGGCTTTACAGAATCTACTGAAAGTTTTGCATAGGTGGGATTTTGTTTTATCTAAAACGATAAACCAGCCATCTTTTGTTGTAATCCGCCCTCTGTTCCCTCGAGGAGAGAGGGCAGAATAAGTGTTTTTGTTGTTTTGTAGTGTATACATTTTTCTTTATC